CGTGTCAATGGGAACGAAAGTGGAGATCATTAGATTGTGTTGTTAGACTGAACAAACGGGAATGATGGTTGGTCGGCCGGCTTCCCTTGTCACCTCACTTATCAAAGAAGATGTTTGGCTGGCCGGCTTCTCCTGTCGTCTACAACGACAATCGAAAAACTAGGACACACTTATCAAAGACGACATAAAACTACTGCAAACGCAAGTTATTCATCATATACACGCTATCCTATTTCACACAGTTCCAACAAAATAAGATGTAAAGCCAATTGCACAACGGAGGCAAAACGAACAAGAATTACAGACCAATATTGCACAAAGCCAAGAAACGAATTTTTTATAGCATTTTAGGCTCAGAACAAATCATTGTACCATTTTGTACAAAGCAATAGCCACAAACACCCAAATCCATAATCTAAACCCACACCGGTTACTCAATGGCATGAAGACAAACATACGGCCAAACCGGACAGCACCTCTCTCTCGAACACAACCACAAAGGCAACTAATCACAAAGATTAAAAGGATTAAAACCAGCAGTAAAAATCCATCTCACTATTTCACTAAGAAAAAGAGAATAGAATACGAAGAAACTTGAAGAAAACTGAACAGCCAGAAGCTTCCCAAAGACGCGCGAGAGAGAATGAATAATCACCCCAAAATAACGCTTCAGCTGGTATATAAAGGATAAACCATCAGCCATCAGATCAGCCCACAATCAACGGTCCAGAGTAGCTCTAGTAATAGGATGGATTGGGCCAGGTTTTGGGCTAGTTGCTTTGATTATGGGAAAAAATCGTAAATGCATTAGAAATAGAGAAAATTACATAGAAACCTACTTTTAAAGTTTCATTTTCAAATAGCAGATGGGTTAATTTTTATTTCACAAATCAGGTGATAATTAAGTTTTAATAATTACAATTAATAAAAATTTAATTACAATATATAATTAACGGGTTTTGCTAATTCATAACCCAACTCACCTCTATCTCTCTCTATCTCTCTACATTTCTCCCAACCTGCCTCTCTTTCTCTCTATATTTCTACCAGCCCGTCGTCGTCTTGCTAATCGCCGGAGAATCACCCGCCACCTATCCATTGCACAGATCTGTCGCTTCGTTCGCCGTCGTCTCCTAGCCCCATCACCCCAACCATCGACGTTGGTACTGTTCGGAGATGGCGGCGCTGTGAAGGTGGCGATGGTTGGTGCTTCTCTCATCTTTAAATAGACTTGGCGGCGCTGTGATGGTGGCGCTGTGAACTTGGATCAGACAAAGGGCCTGGGTTTCATGGTGAAGTCGTGGGCACCACAAGTGGAGGTGTTGAATAACAAATCTATTGGTGGGTTTGTGACGCATTGTGGGTGGAACTAGGTGTTGGAAGCAGTGTGCGCGGGCGTCCCCATGGTGGCGTGGCCTCTTTATGCTGAACAAAAGTTTAATAGGGTAGTGTTAGTGGAAGACTTGAAATTGGCTCTGCGAATCAACAAATCAGAAGATGGTTTGTCACTGCTGAGGAGGTCGAGAGTCGAGTGAGAGAGTTGATGGACTCAGACACGGGTGAGTCACTCAGAAAGTGCACCAAAGAAAAGGAGTCGGAGGCAAAGGCAGCGATCAGTGAAGGTGGTTCCTCCACTGTTGCCCTGGCCAATTTAATCAAGTCATGGAAACTTGGTTGATAATATCTCAACAAAATGATGCCTGAAACTGTCCAACGACTGAGTTCTTGAATCTCCGAGCATGAATTATATTCTGCTACTTGATTTAATGATACTGGGGATTTACATGTACCAAAATTGCTACCAAATTTGTTCACTTGTGCGTATTGTGTTATTGCGTTTGTGAATTTAATGATACTGAGTTCTTCGGTTGATACTAGGTCTGTGAATTTAATCATACTGGATTTAATGATACTGAGTTCTTTGGTTGCTGGTTTCAAGAGTTGGAGGCTCACTGTCATCGAATTTTGTTGGTAGTTTTTGAGATATCTGTTCTGCCTTTGGTTTTTATCTTTTGATAGAACTGTTTTATCTTAATGAATTATATATTTTATATAGCTATGAAAAAATTTAAGTGTGTTCTTCCTCTATTTAGAGTGTGTGAAATGTGCTTGTGATATGTTTTAAAAATTGTGTTTGTGAAATGGTCGAACATTTTATGCATGTTATCTAGATTAAAAAATGCAGTAAATCAGACCAATTTTGAATTGAGAAATATGCGTCTGTTATTGCAATATCCCTCTTCCTGCCATAGCAATTATCCCGGAATATGTTTATGCGTTAAGCAAGATATCCCCGAAAATTTTTATATGCCAACCGGAATTTTCAATTTGACTGGTGCTGGTCTGTGGTGTAAGCGGATTTGTTTGTGGTGACCATTTGTGACCAAATATGTGTGTACTGTGACTGGTTGTGACCAATTTTGTGCTAATTGTGACCGATTGTGACTTGATCATATTCAAGTCACATTAGGTCACAATTAACACAAAATTGGTCACACATAGTCACACTAAACATTAATTTGGTCACAATTAGTCACATTGAATACACACTTGGTCACACACAAGACGAAGTTGAAGTTTCTAATAAAGAAAGGGAAGAGGCACCAAATGCCCCCACATCCCACCAAAAGAGAAAAACAAAATCAAGAAATCTTTATAAAAAACTAGTATTCCCAGTTGAAGAAAATGTGGCACCCTTTTCTGTTCTATGACCATATCGCGATTTGACTACCGGGTAGTTTGTTGTGACCGTTTGTGATCGATTGTGACTGGTTAACTATGACTCGTTGTGACCAACTATGACCAATTATGACTTGAAATTCTAGAAATTATTTGGAAGTTGGGAATGGGGTGGGTAGGTTGATCAGAGCATAGTTTGCTAGAGGGATCGTGAATAGCCGTCGGAGTGATCTTTGGAATAGTCGCCGGAGCGGCCGTCGGAACTGTCACCGGAGCTGCTGCCCGAGTAGATGGCCGCCCGCCGGAGCAGTCGCTGGAGCAGTCCCTGGACGTCACCGGAGCGGTGCCGGAGATAGAGGGAAGGTGGTATAGTAGGGTGGGTGAGGTGTCATGGGTGTAAACTGTAAATAATTAATATATATTTATTATAATTTAATATTTCATAAATCTATTTACCACCTGATTTTTGAAATAATTAGACAAATTTGTTAGTTTTGAAAAGTAATTCTTACATGTAGGTTTGTGTATTGTTCCCTTAGAAATATGAAATAATTCTTTTTGTACCATAATTATTCTAAACTTTAAATTATATCACAGACATCACATAAAATCATCAAAAATACTGGCAACCAAACTTTCCAAATTCCATATACACAAAATGTAACAGAAACTCGTGAATGGCCGTTAATCAAGGGAAATTTAATTACAGCTGTTGCCTTTTGAAAATAAAATTTGAATTCAATAGCTGGTTGCCTTTCCATATTATTTCATTTTGCATTTTAATTACAGTTGTTATTTGGCAAATATAAGTCCAAAGATAGTATAAGCGCCAGCCAGTTGCCATGGCTCCTTGTGGCTTTGAATGCTAAAAACTAAAAAGTGAGGGAAATACTGCAGTTGAACAAATTTGGCTCAATGAATTGTATACTTTTCAATTCATAAAGGACAAACAAATTTTATTGTTTTGTATTGGCACTGATTTGACTGAAACTGATTCTTGATATGCAATCAAGTTATTGATTAATATATATTACATTACATTACATATTACGTTTCATTTTGTCAATTACGCAAGCGTAAACGTGGATTGGCGGTGTGAACTTATTCGGCATGATTTAGAAATAATCTATATTGAACTCTCATTGAATTTGCATGACTTAGAAAAATATTGTAAGGAATCCCACTTTGAAAGTTGTATGAGGATAGACTTTATGCATCTATGACAATCATTATTCTTTTAATTTTTTAATTTTCTTATAATGTAAACTTTAAATTGCAGTGGTAATAACCATCGTTGATTTCGGTGATATCATTAGTTAACAACTTCAATTTAGCCAACTGTTGAGTATGGGAAATTATGATTTGAATAAAGGTGGATATGGATATTGATGTTTAGAAATATCGAAGATTACACGATGTAATGTAATGTCAATTAGCTTTAACCTTTAGTCAATGTCGTCTAGTTACAGTTTCAACTACCCGTTACATTACGTGAAATACAAACGCTATGGGAGTCAGATGGAATCTACTGGATCACAAACAAGTGTTTCACCTGCGTGTACAATACGTATACTTAAATTCATCCAAGAATACAACCAATGCAACCTAAAAAGGCATATTCGATTGGTGCTCAGAATATATTAAAAAGAAGATAAGAATACACATTCGACACTTTGTTCTGTTTCCATGGGTAGTCATAGCAGTATAAAAAGTTCCACACATTTCTCTATTCCCTGAAGTGTCTGGAGGTACACATTTGCACCTCACACAAGTACCAAAAGGCCCTGCTGCACAAATTTGGCCTTGAGTGTAAGCTGCACCTCACCTTTTACAGTCCTCCATAATCTGTAAAAAAAAAAAAAAAGAAGCCATTTACAACTCATAAGTTTTTATAGAACTCAAAAGTAAGTTGTCAAAAATTGGGTTTTCCTGGTGAAAGTGAAGATGAGGAAAGATTATCATTACATATTCTGACCGTAATTAAAGCTTGTTTGAAAGGAAAGTAATGGCTGTCCAACTTAATCCACGTATCTTTTCGGTTTTGTTTTATACTGTGTAAAATGCAGTACCTTTGGGATAAAAAAAGGATGGCATGTATGAAATGAATTATTATTTTTTTATTGGTGCTTGGTGTTATTATCCCTTGAGTTATCGGGGCAATGGACATTTTATTATTTCCAGCAATATGGGCCAAGCCCAATAGTTTCATCATTGCACAAAAGTAAATGACAAAAGTGGCATCACATTCCAACATAAGATATAAGCATAAGTAAAGGCTATATATATTAAACGATTAAAGAGACAACAGTTTATTTATCATTCTATTCTTCCTTTGGCCGAAGTTCAATCCCTTCAATAATAAGGCCATGCTTCCAACCTAGCAGCTCAGTCTCCAACAGTTGCATTTGAATATCACCTTCATCGCCTTCGTCATTGAAATAATCTCCCAATTCAATCTCCATCCACGTGTCCCTTCTTTCTTTCGGCATCCGACCATAGATACTTTGAACAACTTCAATCCAACGTCCTTGTCTGAGCGTTGGTTCTTTTAAATACACAGTGTTGTTCTCACCTTCAACATGTCCTATGCCTTGTTGAACAAGTTTGACAGATGCCTTTGACGGCGAGTCAAGCCCGTAAGAATTTTCTAGGAGTTTGAACACGAGATATGCGGTGTAGTTAGTCTTCAAAGACAACATTTGAGTTTGCATTTTGCCATGAATATCAAGCCAGCAAACACTCAATAATTCTGCTACCTCAGCAAATCTGCATATGATAGAACTCAAATATAATGACATTTCTATTAAGGTAATATATAAATAGAGGAAGAGATATAAACCTTGATTCTGTAAGAGTCTTCCAATTCCAGTACCGTGGAGTTTCTATCCATGCAATGTTGAGTTCCTTTGCACACAACATAAAACACTTCTTTCCACTCGACTTGCTCAGTCTAAAACTCTGTTCCGAGAGTTCAAATTAGATGTAGAAAGTGAGGCGAAAAGGATATCAAACAAGAAGGGACAAAAGAAACAAAATTGAAGGGACCAATTAATCGATCAATATATAGTTAAGGGTAAAATCCCAAGTCGATTAAGCCCTCCGTTTGAATAACAAATATTAATTTCAACCACTTTCATAACTGTTACCCATTCTTATCCACGCATTTCACGATAGCCACTACTATTTCTCTTATTTTTCCTCTATATAAACCATTCATAAATTTGTCAAACAGAGTTAGGTAAAAATATTAACCGACTCATACAAGTTTGTAGTACTTCTCTTAAAAAACACTTAAGAGTAATGTTTTTAGTCGTTAGTTTTCATCGTGTATTTTATATATGCATACAATTGAGTCCTTGGGTTCTCAAAATACTGTAAACTGAAGTTCTTCAAACCTTTGTTGTTTGACTCATATGATTCATCATTTTTAATGCACTCAACAATAAAATCAAGGGCTCAGTGTCACTTAGTCTAGACTAGCAATGATCACAACAAATAGTGAATAACTTTATTCAATAATTTTATGTTGAAATCCCAACTCACATATGATATCAAACCTCGTCAAGCTCAAATGAACAATCCGAATTGCCTAAAAGTCAATCCACTCATGAGAACATGTTAAGAGACAAATACTATCTCGATTGTGTGTGTGTGTGTGTATATATATATATATATATAAAACAAGAACTGACAGATAGAGAAGCAAATGATCAATTAAGTCTCCCAAAAAAGTCTAAAAGCTATAAAGACAGTTCAACAATAAGTGGATTAATTACCAGTTTGCCACCATCAAGGAGGATAGGAGAATCACAAAGATGAAAATAAAGTTCCTTTTTGGAAGAATAAACCAGCGGAGAAACCGATCTTGCAATAATATCTTGATAATCCGACGGAAGAAACTGCTCCCACACTAAATCAGATTCAGCAGCAGATTTTAATCCCGTAGAAACAGTGGATGCAATACATGCATCTTTTGGGGATGTAAATGAGAATATATGTGATATGCATGCCTCTGGTAATACCCAGATACTTGACATCTCATTCTCTTCACTCATGGCTCGAGTTTCAGAGAAATTCTGAATTTTGGTTGATTGAATTTTGTGTCTGAATTTTCAATGTTGGAAGGAAAAACCCAGTTAATATATTGTGATAATTTGAAGCCGGGTCAAAAATTTGAGACTTAAAAAAAGGAGACTTCGTGGTCAAGTTTTGTGGGTATTTGCCATTTGTACTTACTTACACTCACAGCATCTTGGCTTATTGTGAAAAGTTAATTTTTCATTTCTAAATACAGAGAGAAATTGGTAGTGTTTTTCCATGGTCCTACATGTATATCACAACTTACAGAAGATTTTATCACTAGATTTGACGAGATTTGATTAGATCAAAATCTCATCAACCAAATTAAAAAAAAAAAAACCTCATATTCTTTTTTGGTACATTATCGATTTGTAAAAAATTATATGAATGATGAATTTTTCATTGTTTTTCTTAGTACTTGTTTGGAGTATCTTAAAAAATTGTTATCAACCATACATTTTATCAATTTTTATGAAAAACTTTGTCAAACACCACCTTAATTGTAAGCACAAAGAGTAGTTCATGTTGACAGTAAATAAAAAAGTATATTTGTAATTCAAGTTCTCAAGTAGTGTACACGAAAAATATGGAGACTGAATGGTTAAGATTTGTGAGCATGGTTTATTATTTGTAAATGATGTTTACTAAGGTTGTAGTTTGTCATTTCGGAGCTATACAACCTAAATTAAACTATAATTAGTCGATCTTGACCTCCAAGTTCCAATACAAAGACGAGAAATACGCTGCACCTAACATGAAACAAAATATGGATAAAACATTGGGAATATTGTAAAGTTAGTTAGAACCATTAGTCCACGTTTGGTTCCATATCTTAAAACTTATTTTCAACCACAAATTTCATTAAGTTTTATTAAAATCCACTAAAAATCTATTTTTTTAATCAAAATGAAATAGGGGCTTACTGTTGTAAAGTTGTTTCCAACTTTCACGTGTCAATTTCTAAATTGTCAACTACAATAGATTTTTCTTTTTGAATAGTCTCCATATGAAACTCCGTTAAAATTGGATATGCTATCTTACTACACCACTTTTCATGCGAAATTTAAAAAGTCAACCTGCATTTGATCAAACACACTTTCAAACAAAATATTCATGAAGCTATCATTATCCACCAGCATGCCTGAGGTCACTAAGAGCTACTAAAGCTCGCGCTACCAATCCATCTTAATGGGGATATATGATTCCCTTCTCATCATCACTATTAAATGCAATTGGAAGAGATGAAGTTTTAGGATTACCTCGAATTTAGAATACTTCGTGTGTAGTTTTTTTGGCAGAGCGAACATAATTTCTTTGTGCATTCATTATTTCTCTACCTATATAAGGGCCTTTGATTATGGTGTTCATCTCCGCTATTGGGGTTTGGGAGTTGAAAACATTCGCAAGTGCTCGTGCAGGCTCGGCTTGCCTTGGTTTGATTTAAAGTTTCAGATTGGGTGGCATTGCCCATTGTGGGTATGTATTTGTCTAAAGGGCATAATTTCTTGGATTTTTCAGCTAAAATCACTGCAAAGCTTTAGATGTTTACAAAAGAGGCCGTTTTAAGCTATGCATTTTTAAATTTGTGTATAGTGGTCTCTCTTTCCCCCCCTGCCTTATGATAGATGGGACGGGTAAATTTTGAAGATGCAGTCCACACTTATGGAAATGAACAATACATGGAAAATATGCTAAATGCTTGTATTTGACCAATTTTTTGGACAATTAGGTGTGGTATGGTTGGCCATCAAAGTTGGAACAATCTTGTCTGCAGGAAAAGAATGATGAATTTTGCTACTTTTGAATTACAGGAAACCAATTAACCTTGGAATCTTAACTTTGAATAATTTTGCAGTGAATACCTCTGAGTTTTGGGCCTTCAATAACACCAAGAACCAAACTCAGATTAAACCACTAAGTCGACACCACCAACCAACAACCGAAAACCTCAACCTCTAACGCCACCAAACTCGGTTGCTCACGGTTTTGCCCACCAAGGATAAGGTGTGAAATGTATGGCAGCCTCAAGAAAATGCCACAAAGGCTAGAGAAGAAGGAGAAACCACGGTTAGCACAAAGCAAGACCCAAAAGCACAAAGCAAATCCCCCCTCTCATAAACTCACGGCTCCAACACTTTCACACACCCACAATAGTAATAGACAAACAATTAAATAGGTTAAGAAAAGGTGTGGGCTTTTAGGTCAATAACAAAGGAGCCCAATAACAAAAGGGATAAGTGGGCTAACAATCAATCACGCCGTCCAAGGGATTGGGTTGGGCCATGTGCAGCACCAATAAATTGGGCTACTTCAAATGACATAATAATCGCAGGAGGAATGGTTCATTCTATT